CTGCTGAGCACAGTGAGGCACGCTGTTCTAACACAGATCTGCTGAACGCTCTGAGGCTCGCTGTTCTAACACCCAGCTGCTGAGACACCAAGCTGCTGAACGCACTGCAGCACAGCACTGCGACAGTGAGCTACTGAACACTCTTGCAGCACGCCACTCTGATGCTGAACATACTGCAGCAGCACACATTGACACTGAACTGCTGAACACGCTGCAGCACAGCGCTCTGATACTGAGCTGCCGAACACCTTGTAGCACAGCACGCTGACACCAAGCTGTTGAATTCACTGCAGCACAGCGCTCTGACACTGAGATGCACACAGTGACTGCACACACCTGGATGCGCTTCAGTTAGTCACTGATAACAGTGGCGTGTTTCTGCATGGCTACATTAAATGCTCATGTCTTCTTGATCCCTTTCTCCCCATGTCCCCCTCTTTCTCGCTCTTCCCTGCACAGAGTTAGTGTTTGAGGAGATGAACAGCTTCAAGCCACCCAGCAGTAAGATGGACAGCCTGCAGGTGGAGCAGTGAGACCCCCCACCCCACCCTGTCTGTTCGTCCGTCTGTCCCTGAGGAATTCACCCCGTCTGCCTATCAGCCTGCAGTCATATGGACGAGACTGGCGATGTCCAGAGAAGACCCTGCTCCCTCCCTGTCAGTCTGTCTGTCCTTCTCTGAGAATGGCCACCCCGTCCACCACCTCTCTCTCTGCTGCGCTGTCTATCTGTCTGTGTGGATGAAGACTAAGACGTACCGCAGTGGTATAAATTGTCGCTCCCAGATAGCTTGAGGTGACACTGGGCATGTTCACATTATCAGCATCGTATCGTAGAGTATACATTGCCATGGAGCTGCATTTCAGAAGACTGTATTTAAGCTGCGGTCTCTGTTCACCATGAGCAAGCTCTTTGCTGCTTCACAAACACATTATTAGACATGCTTACAAGCCAAGGATGTGCGAGTTTTTCTCCTGCATCCCCCCCGGGGTTCACTTCTGCTTCTGCCCAGCAGGGGTCACTCTAACCAGCCATTCCTCCCTGCCAGACAGTTCACACAATGGATGGCAGATAGGGGGCGCCCCTTCCCCTTCCCACATGCTCACCCCTGTTCCATTTCTCGTCTCAGAGCAACAGCCCACCAGGTGGGCAGAGGAGCATTCTTGTGTCTTAGCAGATTTTGGACTGGAGGTGTCAGGTTATTTGCTGTAGCAGAGGAAGGGGGGTCACAATGATCAGTGGGAATGTGGATGGGGGTAACTGGAGTTTACATCCAGTCTGTGTCCCGCTGTGAGTATAGCCTGTACCCCTGGGGTCTCCTCTGTGTCCCTATCCCTCCATCTCTCCCTTCCTCTGTCCCTCTCTTTCTCCCTCTGGCCTACTCTGTCTGCATGTGTTTTATAAGCAGTAACTGATGTTAAACATTCCCACTTCCTGTATGTCAAACCTCTTACCCAGAGTCGTGAGTGGAGCCTGTCCACATGTCCTTGACTCTTACCACTCCACAATAAAGTGTTCATCATTTAGTACTGCTCTGACTGTGTTGTTACAACCCACAGAGTAGGGAGGAGGGGGATATTCTGGTAGCTCATTGCAGCATCACAGTGTAATCGCGGGTGAAGAAGACAGTAATGGACGTGCTTAAAAAACTTCTAGAAATCTGTAAATTCTTCTTAGCCCTCAGCAGGACAATGTGGAGCTGTCAAAGTTTGACATCCGAGGAAGGCTCCACAGCCAAAACATTGTTTCTTTTCTTCTCTTCCCAGTATGGAATAAACCTTTACTTGTTCCTTTACATTAAACTAGCGTTCGTATTTCGTCACATGCAGTACTTCTTACAAGCAATGGCTGCTTCAGGTCTGCAACCCATCGACGTCGTCAGGCTCCCGATACGTTCCTTTGAGACGCTTTGCCATTTTTAGTTGTTGCTCGTCTGTGTGGCTTTCTCACTTTGTGACGTGTTGAGGTTTCCTCTTCAACAAGTGAAATGCAGCTCAACAGGATTCAGATCAGGAGCCCCGGCCAAGTCAAGAGTTTCCACTCCTCCCTGCTGATCTCCGTGGTCAAGAGCGTGCTGCGTCTGGAGTCCTTGTAGTCATGTGCAGGGTGAACAGTCGTCCAATGAGATCAGAAGCAGTTTTTGGACGTGGGCAGATGAGATGTTTCTGTAGACTTCAGAACTGATTCCGATTCAGCGAGCCAGCCCTGGAGTCCTGCCCGAGCCGTGACACCACCACCACCATCATGCTTCAAAGTGAGGTGATGTGCTGAGGAACTCACAGTTCCTCTCTTGCTCCACACTTTGATACAGGTTTATCTTCATCTCGTCTGTCCATAAAACTCTAGTTCCAGTACTGTTGTGGCTCATCTTTCTACTTCTTTGCGAATTCTGGTCTGGCCTCGCTGTTTTTAGCGGCAATGAGAGGTTTGCTTCTGGCAGTGTAGCGCGCAGTGAATTAAGATGCCTGCATCCCCGCTCTCTAGAGATTGACTTATGGGGTTTTACTTTATAGCCCTAAGGTTTCTTCTTCCTTGGATGACCTGGTCTCCGCTGATTGCTTACTCCTCTAGGAGTAATTCAAGACATTTCATACTGTTGATTTCGCAATGCCCGCTCTCTTTAGAATGCTTGCCACATGTGTCGTGGGTTAGTGTTGGTGTTGTAGTGGTGTTCTATCTGGGATTTGTACTGTTTCTTGGCAGATTTTATGCCAGCTCTTAATTTTTTCCTAGCCCCTCTCAGTTCTTCCTCATTGCCAGATTTGAAGGCTGCATCACGGGCTTTGAGCAGGGAGCGGATCTCAGTGTTCATCCAAGGTTTTTGATTCAGGAGTTTGCGTATCTTTTTAACGCTCACCACATCATCAGCACATTTGCTGATGTAGCTAGTGACTGCTGATGCATACATGTCAATATCGGTGTGGGATCCATGGGAGGCTGCATCTTTGAACACACTCCAGTCTGTGCACTCGAAACAGTCCTGAAGCATTGATTCTGCCTCTTTGGTCCATGTTGTTAGTTATACTGTAACTGGAGCCTTGGTGCGTTTGTAGGCTGGGAGTAGGAACAGGGAGATGTGGTCAGATTGTCCAAGAGGGGGGTGAGGTACTGCTTTGTAAGCACCGGGTACATTATAAACATTATATACAGTATAAACAAGGTCAAGTGTGTTGTTTCCCCTGGTGGGGCAGTCAACGTGTTGGTTGTAGTTGGAATTTTCTGATCTCATCTTCACTGTTGCTTGAGGTGACAACTCCCCGGTCTTCATCTTGGTTTAACTCAAGGGGCAGGTCCAAAAAGTAAACCCGGAAGACTGGAACCAAGGATATACATTGACAGCTCCACTGCGTTTTAACAAGTAGAACGGAAACATCCATCAGGCATTTGTCCCAGTACTTACACTTGTCTGAGATGGGGAGTTTTAACATAATAAATGCCATTGTTCCAACATGGCTAAACCTGTATGCTAAATAATACTCTGAAACAAAATTGAAAACTCTATACTTTTGCCTCATATTAACCTCTTGATCTGAAAATCAAATTGCCATTAGCATACATTTCATTTGACTGTGCCAATAATCATGTTTTCACTGCAGGTCCAAGCCTGGCGGTGAAATTGTAAGATCTGAGACAAAGTATAGTGTTCAGTCCACCATCAAAAAGGATATTATAGCCTTAGAAAGAGTTGGCAACAAGAGGAGCAACAATAATGTGTCCTTGTGTCACGGTATGGCTGTATATGGCAAGATTAAAGGAGCTGCAGTTAATCTCTTCAATCCAGAACAGATCTAAACCAAGTATACAAGATCCTAAGGGGTACAGAGTCCAGGGTACTGTTTCACACTCAATAGCGCAACAGGGAACAAGGATTAGTCAGGATTCTAAAAGGGAATTAATATAGGACAGAGAGGAGGAAACACTTCTTCACACACAGAGTTGTGAACAGTCAGGTGAATCAGGCCCAACCGCTGGGCTCCCCCAAAAAACAGCTGGCATTCGTTATAGATTCACTTAACCACCGAACTACCACATGACCAAGATGGGCCGAGTGCCCTCCACCTCTCGCTTGCTGTCTTTTCCTGGTGTGGATCCCAGGCGTTTTCAGACATTTCAGCCTTGTGCAACACTGTTGTAAAAAGTTGTGACTGAGGGTTATCAATACAGTACATCCTTGGTATGATGAGCTTCGCTTTAAAGGACCGAAACAGTCTGTAAAATCAGAACTACTGGACTTTCCCCGTAATGACGATGAAATGCACAAATAGTTAAATATTACATGGGTTCGAGATTCAGGAATAGCAATGGTGCCCTATAGGGGTAGGTCCACTGCTTATAATGGGTTTGTGTTTTGTATGTTTTAGCAAATTTGATGCAGTATGTTTATGACACATGAAATAAAGAGTTTGTGTATTCATAAGAGGCACAGGTATATTTTTTATTGACTGTGCTTATTACAATGATAAAAAATAATTCAAAAGAGCAAGTAAACATATAGTGTATATATATAATGATGGAAAAAAACGCAACATTTTCTGGAATGAGAATACTATAGCTATAGGTTATGTACTTTCACAAAACGTTGTCAATTTGTTTTAAGCCCTCTGACCAGCAATACAGCTTGTGCAGTGAGGCATTGCAGCTTGCCAATCACACGAAAGCTCGTTAGGTGCAGTTTTACCCAGCGAGGTCCAGGTGGAACAATGCCTGATCAGGTCACCTTTAAAAAGGCCTTAATTCAAAGCTTAGGTCACTGCAAGAAAAAGGGCAGACTTAGTCAGTTTTCTGTGCATTCCATAATGGCTCGAATGTCACCAGAAGCAAGGGAGAGGGCCATTGGCATGCTGCAGGCAGGCATGTCATGTGCCAGCGTTGCCAGACACTATGGAGTGAGTCGCTCCACTGTGTCCCGACTGCAGAGAAGGTTTCAGCAGACCGGCAGGACAGATGACCATCCAAGATCCAGTCGCCCTCGAGTGACCACACCAGAGCAGGACCGACACATCAGACTGGTCCATCTGAGAGATCGTTTCAGATCTGCCACCCATACTGCTGCAGAAACTGCCGGCAGACACAATGCCCACATCAGTGACACGACAGTGAGGCTCCATGCTGCTGGCCTTAGAGCAAGGCGGCCTGTCAGAGGCCCTCTGCTCACACAATTTCTCTCCCTGGCCAGCTGTGCGGTGTGGCTGCTGTGTGTTACCCAGGGCTGGATGATCTGGGTTCTCTCCTTTATGTAAGGTGCTTTGGGATTCCTCATGGAGAAAAGAAGGCTTTGGTGTTATCCTGGGGGAGTAATTAGTGAGGGCGCCACAGCGATCTGTATCCACTGCTCTGCTTAAGGTGTACCCATAATCTATGTTCTTGTTCAGTTAGTAACTAGACAAGTTTACAGATAAGTTAAAAAAAAAAACAGGTGGATCAGTAAACCCTGTAGAGGTCAAAAAAGAAAATGCGAAAGCTTTCGTTTTGAAATCCTGTAACTTGGAAAAGGCCTGGCTGGTGGGGTTATGGTTGTAATATAGGCGAGAGCAGCGCGTTGCCCACTGTACACGACGCCAAGACATCAAACTCTACAAATAAAACGAGAGAAGCGGAGTTTGAAGAAACGGCTCATGAACGAAGTCTGTGTTGTTGATACTTCCTTTTCATCTTGCGCAATGCGGAGGAGCACAGAAAAAGGCAACTAAACAACGTTAGGATTTATAGTAAAAGGTTAAGTGGTGTCTTAGGTGGCTGGAGGTAAGGAGTCAGATAACGCAAGGAGGAAGCAGGTTTCTGGTTTAAAGTCCGTGGATGCGCTAATTGATTCAGGTGGGTTGTGGCCTTTGGAACTGAATAGCTTGTACTACATACCAAGAGCTTGAGGATGATGTGTGTACTAGCCTCGTTTCAGTACTTTCAAGGCGTGTGCGTGTGAGGAATGTTTCTCATTCCGGCTCCAGGGTGAGTTCCCGTCAGACGGTGCGGATCACACCTGCCCTCTTACCGGGGGCGAGGGAAAAAGAAACACGATTCTGTTTGGGGCAACAGACCTGTGCGCCGCGGAGGCGCAGAGCCGAGCGCGCAATACAGGAAGAGCGTCTCTGAGAGGAGGGGATCGTGGAGACGGGAGGGCGACCAGATAGACAAACACACACACACACGCACACGCCACACTCGCTGACTGAGTGACGGGGGAAGAGAGAGAGGGGCGCTGCGCTCCGGAGGCTGCGAGCGACAGAGAGAGAGAGAGCGCATCGGAGGGACCGGCGTGCGGTCAAGCTCGGCTTCTTCACCGGTCGGAGAATGACGACCCGGACCAGACCCGGATACTACCGGCAGGACGTGAACAAGACGGTGTGGGAAGTGCCCGAGCGGTACCGGGAGCTGAAGCCCGTGGGCACGGGGGCGTACGGCACTGTGTGGTGAGGCTCGCCTGGGGTTCATAGAAACACATCTGTCGCCAGTTTGTCCCGCGGGGCGGCCGCCCACGGAGTTTGTGGAGTTGTCTCGCCGGTTTCGGGGACGCGCAGACACAGGAGAAGGAGGGCGCCGAGTCTGAATTAGCAAGGGAACAATAGAAAGCCCGAGCCGGTCTATTTGCTCAGCCCGCAATGTATATTTGCGTTCTTACTTCCTCCTTTCGCTCTCTCTCATCTCTCCGGCAGCCTCTCGGCTGCCTCCCCTGCCTAGCAGCTCACATCTGAGCGAAGCGACCGTGCAGGTCCGGGTGTTTCAGACGCCCGCACCGAGCAACGAAAGCACGGTCTATTTCAGCCTCTCCGTGTCTGTGCAGAGCACAGGCAGAAGTTTGTACAGTCGTGCCCGAGTGGACGGTGGAAAACCAGTTGTCTTCCGGGTTAGGAAATGAACGCTAGCTGCCGAGTGTCCGTCTGGCACTCCCCTGCTCCTCTCTGTCAGGACTTGCAAGCGGAGGAGGAGGTGTGGTTAATAACTTGGCCCGGTGGAGGCAGGGCGTCCTTAAACGTCTCCCTTTCGGCTCAGTGGAAGGGAGGGAAAAAAAAACCCGAGTGCACTTTTACAAGCCCCCGAGCGTCGTTCACCCACCACGCGGAGCTATAAAAGCACTCGGAAGTAGGACAAGACCACAAGGGGCTGCGAAATTTCCTGAAGCAACCCGTTTTCAAACTGCGGCGTCGCAGCAATGCGCTCGACGATCTGATCGGTCAAACACCGCCGGTTCCCGGCAACGCCAGGCCGGTGACGTCACCCGCCCTGCCCGCAGGAAAGGTCATTCACACATCGCTTATCTGTCGCACCTTCGCTCAGGTTGGGAGAATCAACAGGTGTGAATCAACTACTTTCTGGGGGTCAAAAGTAGTTAACAAGGCCTTCGTTGGTGTTCCGTTTCCAGAGCGTTAAGTCTGCGTGCCCTCAGCTGCTTAAAACAATAATTATAATAATAATAATTGCTTACACTTATATAGCGCTTTTCTGGACACTCCACTCAAAGCGCTTTACAGGTAATGGGGTCTCCCCTCCACCACCACCAGTGTGCAGCCCCACCTGGATGATGTGACGGCAGCCATAGTGCTCCAGTACACTCCCTACACATCAGTTATTAATGGGGGTGGAGAGCAGAGTGATGAAGCCAGTTCACAGAGGGGGATTAATGGGGCTGTGTTATTAATCTCTGACCTGTTATTAATCCCTGGCTCACTCGGCGCGGAGTAGTTGCCAAAGCACAGTGTTTCGGCCGTGGAGCCGCCCCCGGGCTCCGCGTCTGGAAGGAGGTGTTCCTTCTCCTTCCCGCTTGTCCGCGCCAACGGCCGTGCGCTGCTCCTCCGCCGCCGGCGCGCGCCGAGACAGCGGCTCCTAGCCCGGATACCTCCGCTGCCCTGCACTGCGGGTGTCTCACGGGCCTGTTCTCGCCCTCCCGCGGGCCGCCGGGTGTGTGACGGTCCCTCTGCGGCTCTGCCCCTTGCAGCTCGGCCGGGGACCGGCGGACCGGGACGCGCGTGGCCATCAAGAAGCTGTACCGGCCCTTCCAGTCCGAGCTCTTCGCCAAGCGGGCCTACAGGGAGCTGAAGCTGCTCAAGCACATGAAGCACGACAACGTGAGTACGGCTCTCTCCGAGCCTCCCGCCAGACGGGTCCTGCCAGCTGGCCGCCGTTTTCATCCACTTCAGGGCTGCAAGGGGGCCGGAGCCTATCCCAGCAAGCAGTGGGCACAAGGCAGGGTACTCCCAGCCCATCGCAGGACACGCACAGCCCAAACACGCTCTCACACCAGGGCCAGTTGTCCCAGAAGCCACTTAACCTACGAGTATATTTTTGTCCACACGGACAGCACCCCAGGAATTGAACCAGGAGCCTGGTACTGTGAGGCAGCAGCACCATGCCACCCATGGAGAAATATAGTCTTCCCTATAAACTGGCAAGGAGAGGGAAGATCTCATTGGTGACCCTGCTTGCTCTGTGCTCCTGTCCTGTGTTTTTCCTCCACTCTCTTCAGCCATGCCTTTGGAAGAACTCACTGCTTGATTAGCCAGTCCTGGAGAGCTGTGGGTAATGAAAAGTGGGTGGTGACTGGAAGGGTCTCTTCACCCTAGCCAGTGGGTAGGGGGGCAGGTGCGATGTGGTGTTACTCCCCGTGCTGAGCGGGACAGTGACTCTTCTCTCTGTCTCCCCACAGGTGATTGGCCTGCTGGATGTGTTCACTCCAGACATCTCTCTGGACAGATTCCAGGACTTGTGAGTGTCCCCAGGTTCCCACAGTGAGATTTGTCCACGGGTCTTCAGGCCGTTAGAAAGCTTACAGATCTTTCTTGAAAGAAAACAGGGTGTTGGTTTCAACAACATGGCTGTGTAGATTGTTCCATACTCCCACAACTCTTTGCATAAAGAAGTGTCTCCTGTTCTGCAGTGTGTACTCCCCAAGGATTTGGGGCACTTGGTTGAGTTCTCACTGTAGTAACCTCTTTTTTTTTATGGGGAGGCCCCACCTGTACTCGGTATTCGAAACTAGATTTTCCTGCGCATTGTGAAATTTTAACCCGGCGTCTCTTGATTTAAGTTCTGTGCTTTTTAACCCCATACGCTGGCGCTCTGTTGGCCCTTCCGCAGATGTGGGGGTCTTGATGGGCAGTGTGGACGGCTCCCGCCTCACACGGCGCGCTTCTCCAGACACGGGCGAGCTGCTGCCCTTGTGGGGCTCTCCCTGTCGCTCGCGGGCTCTCGGGTTCGGCGTCGTGCCAGCCGAGACCCCAGATAGCTCCGCTGTGCCAGGAGGCCAAGCCCCTGCCCTGAGAGAGAGAGTTACATGGTCTAGATTTCACAGGGGGGGGTGGAACTTGCTTTAGTCGCACAGCTTGGGAACTTCTGCTCTTCCACGTGGTGTTCAGGGTTCCAGTTCTGGGAGGCTGGTGTTCCTGCGGGTTTTTGAGATAAGAGGCAAGTCCCCAGTCCTGGTCCTGGAGGGTCGGTGTGTCAGACCAGCTGGGTGCTTGACCACCTGAACCGGCTCATAATTGGCTCAACTGGACCAGTTTAACAGCTCCTCCCAGCTCTTGACGTGCTGCTGCTTCAAAGAGACCTGGAAGATCCGCAGGGACACCAGCCCTCCCGGATCAGGAAGGAGGATGCCAGATTTAAGACTACAATGGCCGTTTTTTGGTATAGAACCAGGTTATAATGAAAACGTGCCATGCTAGTCCTCTGGGACTAAAGTCCCATAGTGAGATGATTCCTTGTGCGTTAACATTTGAAATGACGTCCGACTAAAAACCATTCCTCATAAAAGCACAGCAGCACGTACAACCTGCTTCCCTCTCTCCCAGCTACCTGGTGATGCCCTTCATGGGCACTGACCTAGGGAAGCTGATGAAGATGGACCGGCTGTCCGAGGAGCGCGTGCAGTTCCTGGTCTACCAGATTCTGAAGGGGCTCAAGGTCGGTCCAGTCTGGGTGTGCGTCTGGGTGTGCGTCTGCGGTCACTGGGTAGAATAAGACAGGCAGTGTGTGCCCAGATGCCCATCGTTCATGCAGGTTCCTTTAACAGTGTCCCTTTCCCTCCACAGTACATCCACTCGGCAGGAATCATCCACAGGGTGAGTGGGGCGGGGGGGGTATCGCGGGGAGATTTTGTTCAGCTGTCCGCGGAGCACT